GACAGTGTCTCACTATGTAGTTGAGGCTGACCTGGAACTCACTATGTAGCCCAGGCTGGTCTTGAACTCACAGTGATCCTCCTGCCTCAGCCTCCCGAGTGCTGGGATTACAGTTATGCACCACCACATCTGGCGACTATCATAGATTTTTGCGGGGAGGGGTACGGAGATCAAACTCAGGCCCTTGCGCTTGTGAGGCAGGCACCAGAACCACTGAGCAAAATCCTCAGCCCGCTTCTTATTTTTTATTGGGATAATTTATGGTTGCTGGGGGAAATACATTTTCAGCTCTTCCCACCTTGTATAGCTATTTCCTCATCTTCATAAGGGTGTCCACAAAGTTTCTGTGAGTTTTTTGTGCTCTGCTTTTTGTAAAGACCACCTAGGTCCATGTCTGACCCCAATGTATGATTGACTTTTCTTGAAATTTGAATATGCATTTAGGCCTATTCTAGTTTGCCCTCCTACCCACTTTATTCTCAGACGCAGGACACACTGTTGAGTGAGCGAGACCCTTTATAGCTGAATGTGGGTCTGGAGAGATGCTGGCACCATCTTCCCTTGTTTGGGCTGGGTCGTGCCCTCGAGTGCCCTGTAATACTAAGCCCTGCAGTGTGACCGGCCCGACGGCCAGGCTTCTGCCTGGGTCCTGCTTTTCATGTTTGTTCTCTGCTGGGCCAGGAGCCAATCTTCAGCCCAGTCCAGTTGGCTGAGGCTCTGACCCCTTCTCCCAGTTTCTGCCAACTCTCTCTGCTGCTGCTATTTCTGCCTCGGTCCAAATGTGGATCCTTGTGCCAGGACTCTGGTAGACAGGATGCTGAGAACTCTGGCTCCTTAGAATGCCACACACATCCCTTGTCCTCCCATCAGGCCCTGCCCACAGAGGCTGGCCACGTTGCATGTGTCCCCCCATAGCTGCACCTGGGTCCACATGAAGATCTGGAGCCTGAACTGTTAGCAGCTGCACCCTGGGTGAGCTCCCTGCCCTGTGCCAGCTACCTCAGCAAATCCTTTCTTGCAACAAATGCCACATACCGATCTCTTCCACCCATGCTACTGATTTGACAAATGAATCCCTGTTAATGAGGAATTAATTCCCCTTATTACATCTACCACCCTCTTGGTAAAATAGCTGGCAAAGTGAAAAATTTTCCAGAATTTGAGCTTTAATACATTTATTTTTGATTTTTTGAGACAGGGACTTGTTTTGTAATGCAGGCTGGCCTTGAGTCCACTACATAGCTCAGGCCGGCCTCATACACAAGGTGATCCTCCTGCCCTCAGCCTCCTGTGTGCTGGGATTACAGGTGTGTGCCACCATGCCCAGTTTAAGCATTTATGTATTTTAATAGGACTTTTAATGAAGATTAAATTTAAGTTTAGTTGTGGCCAAAATATCATGCTTCTCTAATGGTTTTGTTGCCATTAGTCGAAACATCCATCTCAACAGATACGTACTATTTTCATTTTCTCTACCTTTAGATTTGTAGATATTCAAAGGTAGATATTTTCTTTCATTTAAAAACAAGAAAGGCTTAATTTATTTTAGAAATCAAGTAGCATTAACACAAGTACTAGCTATAGTGAAATATTTTATTCAGATTTGTAAAATGGAAAACTGCAGGGCATGGTGGCACACACATGTAATTCCAATACTCAGAAGGCTGAGGCAGGAGGATCATCATGAGTCGGAGGCCAACCTGGGCTACATAGCAAGTCTCTTTCTAAAAACAAAAACAAAAGAAACCAACCAGATATAGATCGGGGTAGAACATTTGCCAGCTGCAGGTAAAGTCCTGGGTTCAATCCCCAGCACACAAAATAGAAACTGCTTATATCCCAGCCACTCTTAGATCAACTGTAACCCTCGGTAGATAATTTAGAATCCTTAGATGAAGAGCCATTTGCATGTGACGAAGGCAGACAAATAGTCTCCACTGCCTTTGCCACCTCCCAGAGACAAGCCTGTACTTCAGAACGGATTCCTTCCCGAGCTCGGTAAGGTCGTAGGTGGTTACACTCTTTTCCTTCAACCCATTGTCGAGTTAAGTGAAAGCTGCTGGCAGAGGCCGCCTCATCACACTCCAACAGGGACGGACTAAAAGCTGAGGAACCTAGGTCAGTGAGGTCATTAGCCAGCGAGCTTGGTAACCTGCACCTGTAACCCCTGCCCTCCCCAGTCTGAAGGAGGAGGAGCATAGCAAGTTCAAGGCCAGCCTGGGCTACGCAGTGAGGTCAAGGCCGGACCGGAACACACAGCAAGACTGTCTCAAAAAAACCTTAAAAAAAAAAAAAATCATTTCAGGCCACCAAAGAAGTATCAAAGGAACCACATTTCTTTTTGTCCCAAAATGCAGTCCTGCGTTCAGTTTAATGTTTGCCCACCAGCGCAAGTGGTGGGTAGGCTCTGGCTTTGGGGCCCTAAACTAAAGCTCCTCTGGGTCTGTTCCTGAGAATCAAAAAACAAAACGAAACAGAACACAGGTCACAAGCATCTTTAAAGTTTTATAACTGACCTAGAGGTTTGGAAACCAAGATAAATTAGAGAGGAAAAGGGGGAGAATAGGCAGCCGGTGTCCCCCAAGTCGACTTTCACTGAGGGCAAGCGGGGAGCCACTCAGCCCTCAGTCCTCAGTAGAGGCTGGTCTTCTTCATGACCCTGAGGAACTCCTCCTCGCTCACCTCGCCGTCACCGTCGCGGTCGGCCTCGTCGATCATCTCCTGCAGTTCCTCGTCTGTGAGGTTCTCGCCCAGCTCGTTGGCCACGCGCTTGAGGTTTTTGAAAGAGATCTTCCCGGTCTCATCATCATCAAAGAGTCTGAAAGCTTTCAGGATTTCTTCTTTGGTGTCCTTCTCGGCCATCTTCTGGGTCATCACAGCCAGGAAGTCATTGAAGCTGATCTTGCCTGTGCCTTCCTTGTCCACCTCTGCGATCATTTTCTTCATCTCCTCCTTCCTGGGCTCGAAGCCCAGCGCCCGCATGGCCACTTTCAGTTCCTTCACATCGATGGTCCCGCTGCCGTCGGCATCGAAGAGGTCAAATGCTTCCCGCACTTCTTGCTTCTGCTCTTCAGTGAGTTCGGGCTTAGGGCCCACTTTTTTCTTCTGGCTGGTAGAGGCTGCGTTTGGCTTCTTGAAGCTGGAAGCCATCTTGTCGCGGTTGGGGCAATCGCGGCGTCACCATGGCCACCGCGCATGCGCCTGGTGCGTGGCCGCGGTTCCTGCGATGCTGTCGCATTGTCATCATCCACTGTCCCCTCGGCTAACAGGGCTGTTGGCAAGAAATGCCATAGCTACACTTGTTTTCTGTGAGTCATCAACATTGGCTTTTCATTCTGTACCTTTGATGTGCAGCCATAGCACCCTTGTTTGGAAGTTCTTCTTTACTCCTTTTCCTTACCAATAGAACTAACATTCTTGGTCGGAAGTTACCCATGGTAAGATTTTCGATGATCAAGATTTGAGCCAGCTGTGATGGTGCATACCTATAGTCCCAGCACTTTGGGAGGCTGAGGCAGAATGATCACAAATTCAAGCCCAGCCTGGGCAATTTAGTGAGACCCTGTCTCAAAATAAAAAATAAAGACTTGAGAATTTAGCTCAGTGCAAAGGTGCTGGGTTCAATCCCCAGAACTTGGGGTGTGCGGGGAGGGGGGTGTGAGTTTAATCACTTGGCATTAAATGTGGAAAAAGAGAAGGAAGAGAGACTATTAAAAGTCTCACCATGTGTTCAAACTGACATAAATGGAAAACAGATAAAATGGAAAAAGTTGTGTATAAAATTTGTAGAAGTTTGTCTCCTGACATTACGCTCAACCATAATAAATTCTTCTGGCATAGTCTCATATATGAAATGTAATATCCAAATGTATGATTTACTTTTAGTGCTTCAATTTGACATACTTGGCATAATTGCACTTGAGTAATGGTTGTAATTTCATTCACTACACTTTTGATTGGAGGAAAGGGAGTGAAAATATACTGCATTCTGGTATTCTAGGGTTTTTTTTGTGTGTGTGTGTTGTCTTTAACTCTAGCAGTAATTTTACTCTGTTTTTCTCCCAATCAGTGCTGTGCAATAACTCACTCTAGAGCCCTCATGAGGACTGTGGACCTCATCCAGACAGGAGGAGGAGTGAGAGAGTGAGAGGAGAGGACCCAAAATTACCTCCTGGAAATAAAAGGGTCTTTCCATAAACCAAAGGAGCAAGAGAAAAACAGAAGCTTTTCAAGTGAAAAACAAAGAAAATGCTGCCAAATAAGCCCAAGAATGTCTGTTTCTTCATTTTTTAAAGTGATGCTGACTTTTAGCATTCTTCACCAAAAAAAAAAATTTTTTTTTGAAAAACTTAATATATCGCTATTTGATCCATTAACAACAGACAGCACTTAGACGTTTTGTTCAAGTTTTTGTGCCTCTTGTACCTAGAACAGTGCTTGAGAAATTGTAGGTAGATTAACAAATGTTGAATTAATTCATGACAATTAATGTTTGTCCTAAAATACCTTCTGAGTCATCAAAATTAAGCAAGCAAACAAACCTGAAAGATTAAGTAATGCTAGGAAGAATTTTACAAATATAAAAAACTTGTGATCACATATTGATTACAGGGCATTTTGTTGTTGTTTTTGTGGTGGGGGGATTGAACTGGGGCTAGGAGAGCTCTGTCCCAGAGCTGCATCCCCAGCCCTTGTGGCATATTTAATTAGCCATCTTACTACCTGTCCTAGTTCATTTTCACAGTAGACAGAGAGCCTAGATGCAAGGTTTCTACAGGCTAAGGCAGCTTCCCTGGGCACTTTTTGCAGACTATGTCAACTCATAATACACTGTAGCAGGGAGCTGATCTTCCAATACTGCACTTCCTTCTGTTCTGCCTCTTTTGTTTCTTGAGATAGGGTCTTGCTATATAATACAAGCTGACCTTGAACTCACTGTGTAGCCTAGGCTGGCCTTGAACTCATCGTGATCCTCCCAGCTCAGGCTCCTGAGTGCTGGAATCACAGGTGTGCATCACCACACATGGTCATACACCTGGCTTGCCCTGCCTCTTCCAGGTCGAAAAGCTCTGGATATTCTAAGCCCACGCTTTGTTATCTCTGGGACCTTAGGAAAATCACTTAGCCTCTAAGAATCATTTGACACATTGGCAAAGGGAACATCATGATAAAGCTCCCTAAAGAATTTCCAATTAGAATATCCATAAAAGCTTGGGGACAGGAACCTAGTAGGGCCATTCTGGCCTGGGTAATTTGCAGGTTGAACCTCAGTTCCTCCCAGACTTTGTGCATTTCCTTTGACACCCACCCTTCTTCCCAAATTCAAGCCAAGCTGTGGTGTTGGGAAAAACTGAAGGCTAGAGGCTGCCTTATATAGAACTACACTGGGGTCAACTTGAGCTCAAAGCAAACCGGTTGTCATCATTTCCAGATGTGTGCAATCAACAGTCACAACAAAGGGCCACCAAGAATTCTTGGTGGAAAACAGTGCCCTCGGTCAGAGGCAGCTCTTGGTCAGGAGCTACTTTGTGTTCATAGTCTAAACTCTGACTTAAAGAGGAAAGGGAGACTTACTTTTGTTGTTGCCCAGCATTGGGCTTGGGCCTCCCATTTGTCATCTTATTTGATCCTTGCATTCATTTCCCGTTTTGCAGAGGAAAAAAATGAGGCAGAGGAGAGATCTGGGACAGCACACAGCTAATGAATGTGGCTCTGGGATTGAACTGTGGCTTCTCAACACGGACGCTTTGTTCATTACACACACCATGCTGCTTTCTCTAACAGTTGAGATTATTAAAACACAGTAACCCTGGAAAGATAGGATACTGATTTTTTTTCCTTAACAATTAAGCATCTTGCCTAAAAAGTTTTAAGAGGAATTTATAAGGTAGGGTTCCTCTGTGGGACAAGTTACCAGGGGAAAAAAGCACCTTGTGCTTGGAATTTGTTCTTCAGTTCTTCTTTCAACTCCACATATAAGTTAGTGGGAAGCAGCCTGGGCCAGTGTCTTGAAGTTGGCATTAGTATGAATCTATGCAGTGCACGTGCAAATCAGCTTTCTTCCTTCTAAGTTAGTTCTCACATTCTGGTAAGACAAGCCGGGCATGGTGGTGCATGTCTGTAATCCCAGCACTGGGAAGGCTGAGGCAGGAGAATCACCATAGGTTCAGGCCAGCCTGGGCAACACAGTGAATTCAAGGCCAGCCTCACCTACATAGCAAGACCCCGTTTTTTTTAAAAAAAAGACGGGACAGGGATGTAGCTCAGCAGCACAGCACCTGCCTGGCAAGTGAAAGGTCCTGAGTCCAATTGCTAGTACAAAAAAAAGGGGGGGATGAAAGTTGATGAGATACGTGAAAAATGAATGGATTTGAGTGGGTTTTATTTATTCATTTTTGTTTTTTAAAAACTCTTTTTGACCTAAACATTTTTTTTTCACCTAAAATTTTTTGTGCCGCAATGCCCTAGGTCCGTGATGGCGAGCCTTTTAGAGCTCTCAATGATAACAAATAGCCTGCTGCGGCATGTGTGCCGTATGTGCGCCACCTCTGGCCGAGGTAAGACACAAAATCGGTTGTAGGTTATCTGAGAGGACAAGAGAAGTTGGTTAAGTTTGGTCACAAAGAGTTAACAGCTGGAAGGAGGGGCAAAGGTATTGGAATTTCACAACAGGGTCTGGAGTCAGGAGAGACCGGAGAGAGGACCCCTGTAGCTTGCTTATGCTGACTATTTGGTTTTCCATTTGGCTTGCAGGGCATGAAAAAGGTGAGGCTCAGGAGCCTTTTAAAATTTAAGTTGCATTCAGCAGATTCAGCAAATTCCAGGTGCCACCCAAGGCAGAAAACATGCATAATAAAGCTGATTTATTGCTGCCTATTTACTTTCCACTAAATGTAGAACAGAAAATGTAAATGCTTCATACTGCTCCTACAAAAGCAGGACCACTGTGCTGGGCTGTGAGAGGGGGACCCCAAAACCAATAGTTACAGTGCTAAACTGTTTACTCTTAAATATGTGGAGCCATTTGCAAGAAGTGGACTCAGCAGCAAGCTTCACAGTCCCAGGGTCAGAATGGGAGTATGAAGTCCAGTCCAGTGGCTCAAACCAAGCCCTACTGGAAAGTCTAGGAATAGCTCTGTGCCCGGCCAAGGGCTACGTGACTTCTCCTTCCATGAAACCCAGGAACAAAGAAATTCTCCTTCAGTTACAAAGACAGACTGTTTTTATAAAAGAATTTGCCAGAATTTCACAGTTCCTCAAAAGATATCCATAACAACAAAGGAGAATTCAAAGCAGTCCCCTGCGATCCAGGAAAACATTAGGAAGAAGCCTGCAAGGAACATAGTCACGACATAGTCAGAGGTCACCATAGGGATGGGACAGACACACTCTTGGACCCCTCACCTGTTACTCATCAAAGTCATGACTTGTGTTTCTCCTGAGGCAGTCAGGAACTTACACGTGTTTTCTACTAAAAACTGTGACTCTTCACTTGGGCCTGCAAATGCCCAACTAAGGGTAGAACAAAACTTGACTTTCATCTTATAGAGCTCTGGGCGAATCCATCTCAGCTCTGCACACAGGCATATCAGTCATTCTCAGGGAGGGTCTGTCCGTGAGCCCCAAGTCCACACACGCCTATCTCGCCACCCTTCAAGACTGAAGCACTGTGGCCAGAAGTCTGTATTGTCCTAAACCTGCAGTCACCTTGGATGCCAGCAGAGCCTCACAGGACTGAAATTGTTCCTCTGGGCTTAAGAACTCCTACCGTGGGAACTAAATTGCCCCTCCAGGCCTGAGGATTCAACCTGGGCTATGAAACTCAGCCTAAAATAATGATGGACCAGACCCTGGCTTGCCTCTGCTAATACTTTAAAAAAAAAAAGGGCTTTCTGCATTTGTTGGGGGGCTGGTCTGACCCTCTTCATCAGAATGTCAGCTCCTCAAGCTGGACTCTATTACCATTTCCTCTTACTTTTAATTAAAGCTTTTTCCTGTAAATCTGTGTTTTTGTTTTAATTTCCACTTCTACCGCCCACACTAGCCAGGGACACAACAAGCATGAAATGTCTTTACCATCCTGTTTTATCTTTGTAAACAGTGAACTTGCTTTGTTTTATAGCAGATTTGCTGATTCTACTATAGTTTTAAATGACTGACCACTGGGCAAATTTGATTCCTTCCCCTAAAAATGTAGAGTGCTTATTTTGTGACTTTCCAAGGACATGAGCAGGGCCTATGAGAATTTTACATGTTTTGGCAAACATGGCAGTGGGATTTAATGTAGGGCCTGACCTAC